TTAGGTTGAGATATGTTTGTTTAAGTGTCAAAATCTCAGTCAGAATCAGTTTTTTTTTTTTTTTTAACAAATTTGAAATAATTCCTATGAAATATTACATATCACAAGTGTCAATACTAGCAACGGAAAATATCATGTCGGCCGTTTTTATGTGTGATAACAGAACCTAAATCGAGGTAAGGCTAGGCTAGGTAGCCTAGCAGCGTTGGATAGGCTAATGTTTTCGGCGCCTACGATATTTCTTCTCCCGACCTATCGCAAAATCAAAAAATCGCGAAAAATTCATCTGCATTTATTTTTTGTGTGGAACACAAAAAATCAAATTTCAGTCTTATTTTACATTTTTTTCATTCTTAGGAATGTCTAAATTCAGTTAAACTAGCAATTCCGTATTATATTTATAAATCTTTATAACATTATACAAAAATTAGATTTTTCTTAAAAACTGAAATTTTGCAGGGAATGGGGCTTTAAAGGCCTACTACACTACTCTGAACCATGTGTCCTGGAGCACACTACCCTGCTACTAATTATTAATTTTAGAAAAAAAATACACTGAGCTAACACTTACGAATGAGGCAGCTGGAAACTGAATGGAAAGCAATGGTGTCCTGCACTCAACACTACTTCATTATTGGCACCTGTATCAAAGAAATTGAGATACCAAACTTAGCTAATAAATAATAATAATAAATAATATATTTATGAAGATATTATAAAACATGGAACAAAAGTCAAAGAAAATGGGCTGCAGAGTCTGCTACCTGTCTTTTAGCATTAATTTGTCTTTTTTTTCTTTTGTTACTGTAGCTCTTCCAGTTCCATATGTTTGCTATACTATATTTAGGTTATTATGCAATGAATGGATTAAAGATATTCCACTGTGAAATTGCAAAAAAAAAAATAAAAAAAATTTCCCTTTAAGATTGAAAACAAAAGTAGAATGGATATAACTCAATAAGTTAAAATCCATTGAGTTCCTTCCATTTGTTCAATTTTTGATTTACTACATCTAATTAAAATTATTGATAAATTTTGGAAAAAGACTTCCTGTTTTGAAAGATAACTTACAGTTAAGAAGAATGATAGTGATGAAAAAAAAAATTTCCCTTTAAGATTGAAAACAAAAGTAGAATGGATATAACTCAATAGGTTCAAATCCATTGAATTCCTTCTATTTGTTCAATTTTTGATTTACTACATCTAATTAAAGTTATTGATAAATTTTGGAAAAAGACTTTTCCTGTTTTGAAAGATAACTTACAGTTAAGAAGAATGATAGTGATGATACTAGCTGTATAGTTAACCATAATATTATTAGAATTATTTTTTCAGTATGTGAGCTGTGTTTTTATGTACATTCCTGTGATTTTTAATATTTCAAATAATTATCTGAGAGATTGGAATTGTTTCCACACCTTTAACAAGAAGTTGCTGCTGGACGTTAAAGTAATCTTCATTGGCCCGATAGTGCACTGTCTTTGTGCGACGATTTTCACCGCTTCCAGATGTGTGCTGTTCACTCCAATGAACCTAGTATAAATGCAAAAAGAAAAAATTATTCTAAAAATATATTTTAACAAAAGGTGATCAGTCTTGGACACTACTGTTTTTAAATGCTACTACTAAATAAATTTATAGATAAAAAAAATATTTAATTAGTATTAATATTCATTTGATATGATATTATTATTATCAGTATTATTATTATTCAAGATTATTTCTTTTTAATTTTTTCCAATATATTCTATACAATTATACTGCTTTTATATTTCTTTTGTGTAATTTTACAAATCAAATCATTATATTATTGTTAAATGTTACATCCACCTCCATTGAAAAAACCAAAATCTTGAATTTTATTTTTTTCTTCTAACAAAAAAGTAAAGAAAAACCCAGTGAAGATAGTAACCAAACCAAACCACAGTCAGGATTACCAGTTCAACGACCAATAGGAAACTTTGAAAATTGTATCCACAATTCTACAGAGAACGCAAAGTAATGAAACATGTGCAACTGATCATTTTTAATGACAACCAGCAGACAACATTGTGTTGTCAAGCGCCCACTGACGGCGCACAAAGTTGTGTTTCCAGTTTAGACCAATTGCAATGTACTGTAAACTAAGAGCATGTCTTACATTAGCCAAGCCTTTAAAATGTATTTCGCACAAACGAAGATTTACATCCTTCTCAACGGCGATATCAACACGCCCTGAAACCACGTTTCCTGGTGCATACACAGCTTGCGTTTGATCCAGGATGATTTGAAATAGCTGCAACTTCATGATTTTTATCTGAAACAAATTACATAAAGAAACCTAATTAACAAGAATCACGTCCAAAGTTGCGAATGTAGTAGCAGCACAGTAGAGTAGTATATTAATAATGAATACAAAAAAAACACCATTGGAGTGATGTTTTGCACAACCTGACGTAAAAAAAAAATTCATATCTTTATAGCACTTGGACCCCCTTCTCTTTTGGGAAAAAATATTTGACTTCAAATCCTGGATCCGTCCCTGAACCAGTGCAAAGCACTGGGGATTGAGGCTATTATGGGATGGGAACATCCCAAAACACAGTATTATATTGTAATTAATAATAAATGTCCTCTCTTTTATTTCTAATAGAAAAAATAAACAGCCAGTGAGACCCTCAAAGGGATTTGTAACAAAAACTGAAAATGCAATCATCACCTAAATAAACATTTGAAATTCCATAAAACTAATGTGCGTCGGAACATCTGGGGCTTAGAGAGGAAAAGGAGAGTATAAGGGAAAGAGATTTACTACTTGGTTCCTCTACTACCAGGATAATAGTTTATTAACACTTTAATGAACCATGAGATTGGAGACTCAGTTTTGTATTTGTGGGAAGTATGGGTAGGTTTTTTTGCTTGTTTATATTTTATATGTATTCCTTTTATTTATATTCATTTGTTTTATTTTTAATCCAATGATAGATAAATATCTCATTCTTATTATATAATATTTTTTCATTCGTTGTGTGTGCAATTGAGTATACAGCCACAAAAATTAGTATGTATTTTCGCTCTTCGTGCCCAGTAAACTCTTTGGTGTAAAAGTTAGTTGGTTGCGTGCTTGCTTAACGCCGTGACAAAATACATGAGCAATCATTTCATAGAGATGATTGACCCTTTTATTTTCATGTAATAGAACAACTATTGTATGACCTAATACCCCACACAATAATATGGAATATTTAAAACAAATAAATCAGTCTTGTGTTTCATTTTAGGCCCAAACCCAGGCTAAGCACAGCAGCCGAAAATGATGCATGCTGTATGTTGCCTAGGGCTAGGAAATGCATTATCATGTGTGTTTGATACACGTCCACAAAAGCTTAATATAACAGGAATCATTCTGTCACTGCAAAAGATTTTTCAAGTGTGGGAGAAGCATAGATTAATTCCCTCCACTCCACGGGTGAAAAAATTGCCTACCCTACGGGCAACAGACTAACACGTTACAAGCGGCCAGGCCGACGAATCAATTTTATCCAAGTTGGACTGATTTTAGCGGCTAAAATAGACCCAATGGACCAATTTTAACGGCCAAAAGTAGTCCGGTGGACGGACTTTGGCAGACAAAATCTGTCCGCTGGACCTTTTTTGGCACAGACAGTTTGGTGTGACAGGCCTACTTGAGAAGTACTATACCTACTCTTTGTTTAGTAGCAGAGAACTGAGTCAAGAATATATTTCTGAATCATATCTCACACATTTGATTTATGACAATAACCTAATTAAAATTAGGTCTGGTATAGTAATATAATAAAGTTCTCTTGTATTTTGTACATAGGCCTTTTTCACGAATCGGTAGACATCTTGAAGACATTGCGAATCAGTGGTGCGTAACCAACAGAAATAAGATAAGCTTTTGGGCTGATTTTCTGACATCATGTTATTTTAAAACTCCATAACGGGGCGTCGTATCCAAAATATTTTCCAGCAAAATGTTCTTAAAAGACTAGTCTACACCACTATATGCTTGAAAAAAAATTTTTTGACTTCTGAAATCAAGATTGAAAAATAAAAGCCTACCTCAGTAGTGTATTAAAATAGGTATATGCATTACAGTGCTGTTTAGTACTAGTAATACTCTGAACTAGCATTGTTTTAGTTACCATATGAGAGTTTCCTTTGTTAAAAACATGATTTACTATACTATTACTCTTTATAAAACATAACTTGTACTTTGTAATAAGAGAAATCTGTATATAATCGCTACTTGGAACAGTAACAACACGAAAGTCCTATGCTACTGCACTGATGCATTGGCCTATTTTAATACACTACTAAGATAGGCTTTTCTTTTTCAATCTTGATTTCAGAGGTCAAAAAAAATTTTCATTTTTTTTTCAATCATATAGTGGTGTAGACTGGTCTTTTAAGAACACTTTCCTGGAAAATGTTTTGGATACGACGCCCCGTTATGGAGTTATGATTTTTTAAATAACATGATGTCAGAAAATCCGCCCAAAGGCTTATCTTATTTCTGTTGGTTACGCACCGCTGATTCGCAATGTTTGTCATCACTTCAAGATGTCTACCGATTCGTGAAAAAGGCTTATTAGCCGAGATATAATAAGCTTGCCTGCATACAATAAACAATCCTTTCGAATCCTCGCTAATCTAACTAGGCCTAGTGGTGGTGGTGACCTAGCAAGACACTAACTTAGGCCTAGGCATACAAGTAGCTTATTAGAGACTTACTACCAAATCTTACAGACCAAATCCTCGCTCTGAATCAGACCCTTTTCGCCTTTCATGCCCCTTAGTTCATAGCAGATCAGGTGATCGTTCCTTTAGTGTAAAACAGCGGCAATAGAGTGGAATAAACTCCCTACAGTTATTAAAACAACAAATAATGTTGAATCTTTTAAAAAACTACTGAAAACATATCTTTTTTCAAAATTAACTTGAGCTTATTGCTTCAAATCATTATTCAACTCTGTAAACGCTATGATATAGTTTTCTATGAATAGCGTATCTAAATACTAATACTAATACTAATACTACAACAACCAGGCCTTACATTAAAGAAAAAAAGGATAGTATTTACCTGTTATGTGTTGCAATATATTTCATAGAACGTCCTGAAAAAGATCTAATCGACTCAAATATTGTAATTGATAAACCACGCCTTAACACTGCACGCTCAAACACAGCAATCTTTTAACAGTACAGCTCAGTAACATAATTTCCATATGAATTTCCAACATTATAATTTCCATATGAATTTCCATATGAACAAACGCGAAATAAAAATGACGTCATCTCAACTACCCATGGTGATGAATTAAAATTTGAAAGTACTGTAATAAACTTCAATATTTTTACATTTTTTAATTTATCTATTATATATTCGGCACACTTAAACAAATCGTAATAAAAATAGGCAGAGGTGTGCCAAAACTTTCAATCAACCCTCCGATTTCGGAGGCATACTATAAAAAAAAACAAGCTCTCGCTATATAGACAGTTATTAAAGCATGGAGGTATTATTGAGAAGGAGATCACTCGACAAAGCTACGCGCACTCAGCGCTATGCAAATGAACCAAGATCAAAGTTGCCGCAGCGCGTAAAGAACGTTTGCGCGATGCCTTTGAAGTCCCATGTGTTTCCCCGCCATCAAATTTTCAACAGGCATTAGTTGACCAAAAAATTGAACATGACGAAATGGAGAGCACCTTATTTTCTCAATGCGCACTACATACTGTCAATCACTATGGCTGCGCAATCTTTTTTATTTTGAAGCTGATACATTCATCTCTCATAAAATATCAAAGATATTAATATTTTCCACCAAGAAAAGTTTCGAATTTAATTAATATATTTACATGACCTATAAAAGTATAGTATACTTCAACTTCAATTTTCATAAATTGGCCTAAATTCGCCCATTCTAATTTTAACAGATATTAATTAATAAATGATTAAGGATTATAATAAACTAAGTTATTTTAGGGTTAACTATTCGAAAAATGAATCCAAAATCTGAGTATTTTTCAGTTTTACACTGACTTAGCTTTATAGTCGAACCAGTCAATCTTTAGACAAAATTATAATGAACACAGAAGTAATTTTAACATAAATATTTTACGGAATCCGTTCCTGAAATATACATGCATTTATACGCTTCCAGCAGAGCAGTTGTGCAATAAAACGTTTGATTTTAACCCATTAAATATCTTTATAATGAACAATGTTCCCCTGATTAGATTTTTTCGGCGCCTACGATATTTCTTCTCCCGACCTATCGCAAAATCAAACATGAAAAATTCATCCGCATTTATAGACCGTGGGTTGAGGCTCCAAAATCGGCTTAGTTTACGAATTCTGTGACCCACCGATCCGCGCTACTTGGCATTCGCACAAAAATGTCAATACTATTTTATTGAAACATAATATAATTGTCGGCAATCGTAAATTTTAGGAAACTGTAACCAAAAACGAGAATTTATCTTCGAAAAAATAATGTCGTTCACGAAAGCAGTACCCAATCACAGCACACTTACCATACCTGTTAAGCATTGATGAGACGCTATTAGCCAATCACAAACGTTCTTGTAAACTCGGTAACTAAAGTAAACAATGTCGCGAGGAAATTGACAATGTGTAGCAATTTGGACGAAAGTTCTCCGGTTTTAGTGGAATATTTCAATATGATAGAAGTATACCAGCCTTTAAATAAAATACATTGGTAATAGTTGTAAGATTTTTGAGGTAGTAAATTGCATTTCCCGTCTTCTGTCGACTGTCATACCGTAGTTTTGTAAGCCAAAGTCGACCGTGCTGTACTGAATGTGTATTGTATTACTTACCGTATCTAGGCCTACATATGGAAGGGCAAGAAGTAATGTTCATCGTCTTTGAATGAGACAGGAAATTCCTGTAAATATATAATATATTTTGATTCTATTTGTAATCGCTTTTTTTGTTTTTGTTTGTTTGTTTTTTGTTTTTGTTTGTATTTTTTTTTCTATATGTACATTTTTTATAATGTACATTTTAAAAGAAAACTGAGGCTGAATTACTTCAAAAAATAAGAACACATTGAGGCTGATGTAAAATTTCAAATGTTTTTATTTGCATGCAATGTAAATAATAAACTTTAATCAGTATTTCTTGCCATGCCTGTTGATTTTTGTTTAACTGCTTGAAGACCTTGATAATATGGACTGAATTAATGAATAAAAGTAAAGCAATTGATGATTCCAATAAGGTGAAACAAATAAATATTTAATATACCTCAGTTCAGCCAGTTGCATCCCATCAGCACTTTCATTATCTCTCTGATCACTCACTGGTTATATACATTTAACTACACAACAGTAAACACAAGGTTGAAAGAAGTTTATGACAAAAATCTGAACTTTTATATGAATATTATTGAAACACAGA